TGATCCAAGGACCACTGAAATAGCTGAGCTGAATATAATCTTGGCTACGAACTCGAGAGCGAAAGTAACAAGAATAAACAATGCAGAGCAGACCGAGAAGAATCAAGAGAGCAACTAGGCAAATTGTCACCACACCGAATGCATCGGCAGCAAATCTCGTCAGGGGCATTACCCGAAGCACAGATTCCACGCATGCTCTCTGCCAGCATGGATGCAAGAGGACCTCCGGTATCTTATGCGCCTTCTTTCCAGAATTAATCAGGAATTAGAGAAGCAATTCCCAAACTAATACTGGAGGATGCATACCAACCAGATTAACCATATATGGGGCAATCAAGATGAAAAATCGGCAAAATCCACAGTAGGAAGCATAGAGTCCTAACTCATCACCAAATAATGGTAATCATATATCGAACCAATCCAAAACTACCTTCTTCACAGTCAGCTTGTGATTTAATGCTGCAGATAAATTTGAAGAACTCCTCTAAGATTATATCCAGTCCCACCACCTGATGAAAAGATAGATCAGAGAAATGGTAAGATTTCAAAAAGCAGCCAAAAGGAAAGGCAAATACCCAGGACTAGATGGCAACAAAACTTATCAAGTACCCAGCAAAAATAAATTAGAGTATTTGGCACAGAATAAAGCATCAAACTTAATATATGGAACAGACTTCAAAATGCTTATATCCCATTATTTGTGATTTTCATGCAGACAAATAGAGAACCGAAATATAGTTCAATCAAAAAATGTATCTGGTTTAGCTACAGGAAACAGCTCTGCGAGATGTACAACTACGACAAACGGATATTGAGGAAGGCTAGCAAACATTAACTTACCAATAATTGTTTGTAGGTAGTATGTCTATAAATATAGTTTAGCATCTAAAGTTATTGCCATGTATGCTTAAAAAGAAGTTAAGAGAGAGTACAGATTGAAATGCGTGTAGACCGACTCATTTAGCATTCCAATAATATATGGGATTCAATTAAATAACCCTCATAAATGTTACCTTCAACTTAGAAGTCATTCAGAATGCTGCACGAATCAAATTTATTTCATCCAAGTTAATACTTCTCGATTACCCAAAGTTGACTCTTTCGTTTAACATAACAAACATTTACTATAGCAGGGGAAAATTACCTCGTAAAAAGGAAAACTAATGCTTCATATAATCCGGATCATGCTAGGCTAGAAAGTATGAAAATTAAACAACTTTCTAAAAGCAACATGATTCAACTTAGTACCACACTTACATATCACAGTTCCCTCACATTCCTGTTTGAGTGATTACAAACTAATGAACAACAAACACACAACTTCAGTAATAATAATAAGCAAACAACCAAATGGAAAGCCCTAAGCAACCCCCAATGTAACCTCTTCAGGGAAAATTTGTTTATTGTTATTTCTAATTCCAGTAAGCCCCATTATCTTCAAGTAATAGTCATAAGCATGTAGAATTATCCTGAGTGTATTCATGCTGCATGATCTAACTTACTAGAAAGAATTCCATTTCCCATTATTTACTTCATTATAAAGAGCTTACATTGTGGACAACCCCAACCATTGTTTCTGCTCACTGAATAACAAATTTCTCAAAGAAACTCTAAATACTCATCCTTTAGCTGTTTTGCGGCATTTCATTAGCAAAACCTCAGGGAAAAGAAGGTCTTAGAAAACCGTCAACCAATACAAGTAAAAACAGGTATACATATGAATAATTTATCTTTTAGTATATCATCCTTAGATCGAAAAGGACCAATAAAATCTTTCAATTTCTTTTTCTAACAACAACATAGACACTAAAAAACCTAGAAATCCCGACTTAGATTCACGCCCTAAGCAAGAGTTCGAATCTAACCATTTCATAAAAAACAAACGCCAACCAAAACAGAAGAAAAAAAAGAAGAAAAAAGTCACTGACGAAAAGGTGCAATCATTATGACTATCGCTGAAGGGCACTATAACAACACGAAAAACCAGGAAAAAATAAAAATTTTAGAAAAATATAATAGCACCGAGAACAAAACAAAATCCTTGAAGAATTGAAAACCAAAAACGATAGCACAATGGGTGAAAAAGCAGATCAATCTAGGGCTTACAACGCGGAGAATCTTGATCTGGCGAGTTGGAAGGAAGAATCGGAGAAGCACAGAACGAGATCAACAAACCCTAACCCGCAACGAGAGAGAGAGAGAGAGAGAGAGAGAGAGAGAGAGGGAGTAGAAACAGAGATACGGGAGAGAGAAAACAAAGAGAGAACGTAGTTAGGGGGAATAGGTGAGTGGGACTTTGTTGGTGACAGGCTGTCTCCAGCTGTGTTGAACGAGCCTGTAGGTTCGTTTCCTACTTAAAGTGGTAGGTTCGGAATTTAGTCCGAGCCTACCTGGCAGCACCCTGGCGGCGTTTACGGCGACTAACGGTTGAGGTTTTTTTATGTTGTGTTCCCACACACTGTAACAAAAACCTACGACCAACTGTTTTTCCAACCCTTCTTTTACTCAGATAGAACTGTTTTTTTTTTTTTTCTTTTTCAATTAACCAAAATCTCTTTTTGAAAATTATTTTTTCCAAAAATTTAAAAGGAAAATTTAGTATACCAACCATGTATATACATACATATATGTATCGAATTGGATATTGGAAGAAAAATGAAATGGGTAAATATAGATTCCCATAAGTAATAAAGAAACTTTTTATATTTTAAAAATATATATATATGGCATGTGAATTGATCTAAATAATCAAATAAAAATTAGTGGGTGTTTTATGAAAATCTATGATGAATTTTCAATTTATTCATATTTAGAATGTTATTGAAATAAAATTATTTCTTATATGCTTAGAGTTATCATATCATTTTTTATATTTATGGTAGTATGGTAACTGAACAATAAATATTATAAATAGAAATCAAACCATCAAAATTAAAACACTTTACAAAATAACATGTTTTTTTTTCTTCTAGCCATATAAACTCAATTCTTATATGTAATATTGTGGGCAAAATTTTTGATGTTTCTAATTAATGTGAAAAATATATATATATTTTTACTATTGTAAATGCATACTAAATATCTTATCAAATGAAAATATTTATTTGAAATTTTATTATATGCAAAAAAACAGAAAATATTAGTTTTTCTAATGTGATTCAAGACATTTTTGTGTAGCCAAACTTTTGTTATAATCAAATTAATGTTAATGTTTAAAAAAGGAAAACAAATATAATTTGCTTATGGTTTAAGACCTCTACTACACCCCAATATAAGGAATGTAATAAGGTAATTAAATGATATTTTATGTAATACTGAATTGAAGTTTTTTTTGTCTTCTAAAATTTCACATGATAGTTTGACTACTTATATTTGCTGTAGATTTTAGTAATTTTTAGCATTAGAGTAATAATATTTGATGATTTTCATATAACCCTATTATGAACTTAAAATTTATAATTAATTTTAGATTAAATTATATATTTTATACATACATAGTATCATATGGAGTGTAAATTAATTTTTTACAATTAAATCTAAACTCGACTCGTTCTTATTAGGTGAATTAAAAAAAAACTTGCTTTGCCTCACCAAAATTCAAATCTTATCTAATTTCAAACCACAACAGATTCAAAGGATTACAACAAGTTTGATAAGTCACGATTTTTTTTTTAATATCCCTACACGTAAACTATTTAAGATAAGTTATTTGAATTAAAAAAGGGTAATAATTTTGTAATTAATATTATACAAACTAATTTTATTACAAATCACAAAAAATTAATTGAAAATTTAAACGTATTTGTCTGACAAAAATCTTATATCCAATCCAAATAAACTACCTAAAAATAATTTCAAAACCTAAAATATTTAAAAACGATCAATTGTATTAGTATCACACATTAAGAGACTTGATAATATCTTGATATGTTCGAATACATAATTGAAATCACAAAAAAGATATATTACAATATGTAAAAATTATAGGAGATAATAGTTTATTATTATGTACGACAAATCATTTGATCGAGAGATACATATAATCAAATTTTTTGTGTGTCGGTATATAAAGATATAGAGATCGAATCATAATAATAAGGTTGAAAATAAAGCCAATAATAACTAAAATGTAAATGAATAATTATTAGTTAAGTCACATTCATTGAAAAATATATTAAATGACATGAAAGGTAAATTTTTTTCTTTTAAACTCGTAAAAAAAATATTTTTTTTAAAATACCATATGATAATTATACGATTTATAATTTATGTCATTTAAATTGATAATCTATAATCTTCTCTAGTTAATTTAATATTATATTTTTTTTCTTCACTCAAAATAACCCATTTGAAATGACTGATTACGCGATACTATATTTAACATTATTATTTTAAATTTTAATAAAATAATTATTTAAAAATAATTTAAAATTTCAGAAACTTAATTGCTCAAAATCAAAAGTCCATTCACTTAGTTCAGTAACATACAAAATTTTGAACCAAGTAATTATGTGTTTAGCCCATATTTTAAAATAATTTAAAATTTATCAATGGACAAAATAAAATTTTCATTATTAGAATTTATTATTTGAGACATTATATTATTTTTCATGTAGCATTAAGTATATTTGAAATACAATTAAAAGGTATTTTAAACGAGTATCGCAATTTATCATTTTTATAAGGACTATAGTCATGGTCTAGATAATTGTCAAATAAATTATGGTGTTATTTTATATGGAATAAAATGCGTTGACTGTTGACTTTTTACATTAACTTCTTTTTAATTTCCTTTTTGACAAATGTCGGTCAAGATGAAGCGGTCATATTACCCCAAACGTAGGAGAAATGTATTTTTGAAAGGTATATCTTCTATATTTGATTAGTAAACAAAATAAAAAATTACGTGGTCAATAATAATTTTTCCAGATAATAAATTTAATGTAATAATTCAACTTAAATTCACTTAAAAACACGGTGTTATGAATAATAATAAATTAATAATTTTATTTGACTAAAGTTGGATTTTGTTAATGATTAATTGATTGTAGAACAATAAAATATGTATTAAAAACAATGATTTTAAATAAACAAAATAATATAAAAATAATAAAATGATAAATAATTATTAAAGATTTTATGTACACATTCAACTCTTTATTTTTATTTGTAATACCCGGACTCGAAATTTAGTACAGGATAATTATTTTTTTTCGTTCAATAAATATACAAATGATAAAATTTTGTTTTAAATTGAATATTATTAAATTTTTGAAAAAAATTAACTAGATACGAAATTAAAAACAATTTAAAAAAAAATGGTAAAATTTTGAATAAAGATAGTGTTTTTAAAAGAAAACTTAAAAATATGGGATAAAATCGCAAAAATGAGAAATTTGGCCATGCAGAACGGTCCAGTCAGAAGCTACGGCGAACCAGAACACGCTGCATAGAAAAACACGCTAACATCGACACCACGTGGGTGATCCGCGTGCCTGGCGATCCGACGGTCTAGATCACGTCCTGCGCGCACAGACGGCTCAGATATGTTTTCCTTTTAGGGGCGATTGAACTGTCAGATTCAATCCAATCGTGCGGTCCAGATTCATTCTCCGAATATGAAGGATCCAACGGATGAGAGAGGGCCATGTATTCCCGCACGAATGGCCCAGATCGATACCGGGAGGGTATTTTAAGTATTGTATTATAGGGAACCCTAATCTTAGCCACACCAGCCCTCGCTATAGAAGAAAAAGAAGAAGGGCAGCCGGAAAAAAAATCGATTGTTGTCACTCCCGATGTCGAAATAGGTACTTTTTTTCCCTTTCGCTTGAAATACCATCCTGAGCCTCCTTGTGGCCAGATCAGAGCCAAATGATCAATAGGTGAACTAAAAATTGCGGGCAAAGCTTGACCAAACTGCTGCGACCAAAACACGAAACCATTTTCGATGACCCCCTTCTCGTTTTTCATTTCACGTAATTTTTTGACCAACATGTTCACCGTCATTTTCTGATGCATGTTAGCTGAAGAGAAACTCCAGCCATGAAGGAGGACCGGTGGAGCCGCCGCACCTGAAAAATCATCTAGTAGGTTTCAATTTTTTTGATTTTTTTGACCAATTGAGGCTCTCTAATGTATTTTTTTGCAGGGATACATGTAAAATCGGCCTAAACCGGCCCAAACCGGCCAGGTCGAGACGAACTGTCGCCGCGCTGGAACCCTAAAATTTGCTAAAAAGGTTTTTCAACATCGATTTTAGCCTTTTGGGATATTTTTGGGTACTGATGAGTATGTTAATTTTTGTATGAAAAATTCAGAAAATCTAGGGATCGTTAGGAAACGCAGTAGATAACACAGTATTTCAAACACCGATCCAGGTAAGGATCCCTCACTGTAACGACCCCGAAAATCCAAAAAGAAATATATACTAATTTAAGTACGGAAGTGAAATAAAAAGTTAAGGTTTACATCCCTTCCACAATAACTTAAAAGTACTAAACAAACATCACGTTTGCTGAAAACTACTCAAAAACTGAGAAGTGAACCTGGGGTTCCTGACGAACACCACTGTCACTGGAACTGCATGTAATCTGACTACTTCCCGGATATACATTCTTGCTAACTTATCCAAGGGATCAGTCACTCTGATGACCAAGAAGTGGGAAGACTTGGTAAGCCAGTCAACAATTACGCAGATGACATCATGTTCTGAGCGTGCCTTAGGTAGTCCTGTCACGAAGTCAATGGTGATATATTCCCACTTCCATTCTAGAATCGGTAATGGCTGAAGTAGCTCGCCTGGGCGCTGATGCTTTGTTTGACCTGCTGACATACCAAACACTTAGAAATAAAATCTACTATATCTCTTTTCATTCCGTTCCACCAAAATCGGGGTCGCATACTTTGGTACATTTTAGTGCTTCTAGGATCCATGACAAACTTTGAGCTATGAGCTTCTGTCATGATGTCTCTTTTTAACTCACTGTCACTTGAAACACATACCCTATCTTGGAATCAGAGTAACTCATCGGCGAAGACTCAGAATTCTGAGCTAACTCCTTGCTTTACATCTTTCTTGATGGCTACTAGGGTGGGATCGGCTGACTGAATTTCCTTTATTTTCCGGATTAACTCAGGCTGAATGGTCAGATGGCCCAAACATGTGACTCTCCTCAAGTCCTGAAGTCGAACCTGTTGTGTGGCCTCAATCTGCCTGCATTCTGAAACTATTAAATG